TATCTTTTAATATTTCACTTAAAATCGTTTGAATTCTTTTCAATCCATCATCTTCATTTTGATTCGAATCACTAAGATAAATAGTCATTTCTATCATCTGGTAGACATCTTATGACTTGTCTAAATCACATATCATTTAAATCACAGTATTGTTTAAGATATTTTTGTTTTATTTTATAAAGGAAACTTTCTTTACTTTGGTTGGATAAAGATAGTATTATTTTGTTTAATTAAATTAACAATTTTAAACATTTTTTTGCACGCTTTCGAAACTTCTGTTTCTACTAAATCGTAGAAAGCACAGTAGAACAAGCTGTCAATCAAGAGAAACATAAACAAGGAATGAATAATACGCAACAGAGCGTCCTCAACATACATTGAAACAGAATAATAAGGACACAATAAACCTGGTATTTAGTTATTTGGGAAATGAGTCATTTATATTCTGTAGAAAATTGGCAATAGTTTACGTAATGCAAATGTGAAATACCGGATAATATTCAGAAAGCATAGAACAATTGGACAAGAATTTCGTAGACAGATGAAAGGAGATAGCTTCAGGAAGGTCGGTGTGGTTTATGCCGTGGAGTGTAAAGGTTGCGGTAAAGTATACGTGGGTCAAACGGGATTAAGTGTAGAAGCAAGAATGGAAAAACATGTTGAAAATTTGGAGAAGAGAGAAGTGCATTCGACTTTAGTAGATCATGTTCGAACATTGAAACATACCGTGAATTGTGATGAACCAAACGTATTCACATTTGAAAAGCACGAGAGAAAAAGGAAGATCAAAGAAACATTGTTGACAAAAAAACTCCATGCATTGGCATTCAATGAAATTTCATTTAAAACATTATTGTTTGGAATGAAAGAAGAAGAAGAAGAATACCCCGCCTTTCGGCTACCTTTCAGTATAGGGTGATGTCCAAGGACATTTTCATTGGCCCGGTATTTTTCCTACAACTATTGCTAGCTGCAGCTGTGGACAGAAGGCCGGCCTGACGCAGAGTTCTTCTCGCTCAATTGCTTGAGCTCCCCACACAGTGGGCATTTTTTGCTTGAGCAGGCGGACTTTAGCTTTATGAGCGAAATAAAATTTCATGAACCATTTTTTTATAGGTTTTTCATGATCCTCTTTCGAATGGCATGAGAGTTAGCTTTTGA